AACAGTCCCAGTCAGTGTTTGTATCAAACTGGAACAGTCCCAGTCAGTGTTTGTATCAAACTGGATGTTCTATTCTCTGGAAGTCATGAGTGAAACTTTAGTTTTGTAGAGATCTAGTATAGAGCTGTATGAATGGGCACATGAGGCACAGATTGTAAAGAGCTTTGAGTGTCTCTGTAAGATAGAAACGCGCTGTATAAGTACAGTCCATTTATTCTAACCAACATGCTTTACGGAGGAGGGTTAACCAGAAACTGCATAAACGTGTAAATGTTTTGCGGGCCCCTGATACGTGGCCCCAGCTGTCCCCTGGACCCGGTGCCCTAGTGGCAGCCCTCTGCTCCAGCTGCCCAGGGCTGATCATTTTTTATTTTACAGTTGGTTTGGTTGAGATTGATTGAAATAATCAGAAAAGTTTTGATCCACAGGTGGAGTCTGTTTTTGAGACGATCGTAGAGGAGAAAGAAGAGGAATCTACTTTAACTAGTAAGTTACTAATTCACTTCAGCTCGTGTCGATGTGATGCGTGCACGTAGGGCTGTAACACACGGACTGTAATAATCCTTGGGAGTAAAGTTCACAGAATGATCAGTGTAAGGTTTGAGTTGAGTGAGTCCTGAGGGTTCTTCACCTCCGACCTTGTCATTGAGGCTGAGCTCTGCTGGACCAACATTCAGATAACAAGCTGGATGTTCACCGTTTACCGTCTGGAGGAACTAGATGAAAATGTCGTGCAGTGCATGAAATGTTTTTACATTTCTTGGATACAAACTTTTAGTTGTTTATCTTTTTTTACTGCTCATTTAAACATGGTTTGGCTGATTAAATGTTTTTATTCATTTCAGAACTGGGTAACACAATTTCCACCTTGTTTGGAGGAGGATCGTCTGAACCTGCTCCAAATGTAACTGAGCCAGTCCAGGTATCATCCTTAGTCCTCATTCATTTATGAGACATGTTCAGCTCCCTCCATCTGTAGTTATTTTACTGCTAACTGAACTGTGAGTAAACACGGAGTACCTGCTGTGGACTTTCTATGACTAGGAAGAAGAGGAAGTCCCTCCAGAATCGGGGAAGGAAGACAGAAATGAGTCCCAGAAGGATGAAGTGAGTGAGGAGCCGAAGGATGAGGCGGAGAAAACCCCAAATGAAGAAAGAAGCCAGGAGAAGAGTGAGGAAGCAGGCAGCAAGGCAGACGCTACGGTACGATCTCACACATGTACTACATCGGTGAAGTACCCATTTATTTGCATTATGTAATTAAGTATGAGTTCTGTGTACTTTGAACTGTGTAAGTAATTATTCCAATCTGTGCTTTAACTTGAGGATGTTTCATTGGAAGTATTTTACGTAGTTCTATTTGAAATCCCATCTGCTGAAAACGTTATGTGAACTGAAACGGTGGCTGGATGTGTTCATCAGCAGTCAGTGATATGAACCCTTGTGCTGAGGCGAGTGCACGTCAGCAGACGTGCACAGACGGCGCGTCGCCTACAGCTCAAAGTCCAGATACTGAAATGAACTCCTGGACATGTTTAACACACTCTGCTGCTTACGTTTGTGAACGCTTTATAATTTTCAATATTTCTGCATAAATATGATTAAAATATCCTCAGATTTTCACACAAGTTCTAAAAATAGATCAAGAGAACCCGGTTAAACAAATGAGATGAAAATATTAAACCTGTTCATTTATTTATTGAGGAAAATGATCCAGTATTACATATTTGTGATGGTAAAAGTATGTGAACTTTCCAACAAAGTTCAGTCAGGTCATCTGGATGTTTCTTTTTGTTGTTGTGGAAATGTTTCGTCCTTCATCCAAAGGACTTCATCAGTCCGTGGAGCCACAACAAACCCAGTCCCACAAGCAGCACCTTCATTCACAGAGTGGGTCAACCAGTTTCTGGAGCCCCAACTCATCAAGACCTGTCCAGGTGTCCCTGTGATGGACTGGAGACATGATCAGGTGTCCCTGTGATGGACAGGAGACATGTCCAGGTGTCCCTGTGATGGACTGGAGACATGTCCAGGTGTCCCTGTGATGGACTGGAGACATGTCCAGGTGTCCCTGTGATGGACTGGAGACCTGATCAGGTGTCCCTGTGATGGACTTGAGACGTGTCCAGGCGTCCCTGTGATGGACTGGAGACGTGTCCAGGCGTCCCTGTGATGGACTGGAGACGTGTCCAGGCGTCCCCCACCTTCTCCTCCATGACATGTAAAAGTGAAGCAGACAATGGATGGAAGTTAAATATGAAACTCTGAGGAATTTATTTTATTTAACATCTCGTTTTAGATGTATTTATATTTTTTGTCCTCTGTGCATTAAACTAAAAACTCCCCCCTCCCACCTGTGTAGAAAAGTAACTAAGTAACTTTTACTTAAAGTACATTTTTTCAGACTTAAGCCCCCAGTATACTGCCGCGTACATCCATACACAGAGGTATGCGTACCCCCCAGCGTACCCCCCAGGGCATGTCCGTGCAAAGCTCAAATTTTTACGACTGCATACACGTACGCGGTGTCGCACAATAAACTGCCCGGCGACGGACTGTTTCGTATGTGACACCAATGTATTAAATTCCCCTTCTTCATCTCTGATCTGGTCTTTTCTTTTGTGTTGTTGCCAAGAGGCAGTGATCTCTTCCTCCTCCGTTGATGCCATGACTGAAATGGTGAGAAATGGAGGAATTTGTCACGAGCGAATTAAACTCAGGTCCAGCGTGGCTGCGGAAGGGTCTGGAGAGTTCCTGGTGGGCTGGTCTGATGTGTGGGCTGCAGGGCCAGCGCTCCCTGTTTTTTTATTTTTTAGATCTTTTTATTAACAACATATAAACACAGAACACCGCTGAGGCTGCCAGCGCTCGCTTTTCTCCGACCTGTCCATCAATCCAGTAGGCGTGTCAGCAAACGACCAATTGGCGACCTCAATTTGTCCCGAAGGTAAACGCCCCTTGTCTGTGAAGCTGCTCTGCAGCTGATCGGGGTGTACGCTGGAGTATGACGTCTGAACCCTCTGCGTACAGTACACGCGTACGTGCAGTACACGCGTACGTACAGTACACGCGTAAATACACGTGAACGGACGTTCGCGTGTACTGTATGTACGCGGCAGTATACTGGGGGCTTTTCGTTTTACTTTTATATGAGTACATATTTATGCAGGTACTTGTACTTGAGTAACAGTACTTGTAGTGTAGTAAATGTTCAACACAGTACTTGTACTTGAGTAACAGAACTTGTAGTGTAGTAAATGTTCAACACAGTACTTGTACTTGAGTAACAGTACTTGTAGTGTAGTAAATGTTTAACACAGTACTTGTACTTGAGTAACAGTACTTGTACTTGAGTAACAGTACTTGTACTTGAGTAAAAGTACTTGTACTTGAGTAAAAGTACTTGTACTTGAGTAACAGTACTTGTACTTGAGTAACAGTACTTGTACTTGAGTAACAGTACTTGTAGTGTAGTAAATGTTCAACACAGTACTTGTACTTGAGTAACAGTACTTGTAGTGTAGTAAATGTTTAACACAGTACTTGTACTTGAGTAACAGTACTTGTACTTGAGTAACAGTACTTGTACTTGAGTAACAGTACTTGTACTTGAGTAACAGTACTTGTAGTGTAGTAAATGTTCAACACAGTACTTGTACTTGAGTATCAGTACTTGTACTTGAGTAACAGTACTTGTAGTGTAGTAAATGTTTAACACAGTATTTGTACTTGAGTATCAGTACTTGTACTTGAGTATCAGTACTTGTAGTGTAGTAAGCTCCATCCGTGGCCGTCTGTCAGGGAGACGTTCACAGGAGGTGTTGTGCTTCATTCGCTCTCTTCTCTGGTTCTGCTGGTAAAGGAAGAAAAGGATGGAGACAAGTCTGGACCCTCTGAGGTGGAGAAGACGACCAAACCTCAGAAAAGAAGCAAGATCTCTGAAGACATCCAGGTGGAACTTCTTATCAATGACATCACTGACCCCTCTGCAGATGACCTCACTTCCTCCAAAAAGAAGTAAAACTGTTCTGCAGCTTTCAGCTCTCGTTTGATGTTTTCTGTTTGTTCCAACGAGTTCCAATCGTTTCAGGTTACAAGATCTGACGGACAGAGACCTGGCCAAACAGGAAAGAGAGAGAGTTCTGAACACTCTGGAAGCTTTTATTTTTGAGACGCAGGTAAGCAGCAGCATTTAAGACGGGCACGAGAAATGTGGCCCTGTTTCTTTTTTTAGCCATTTTTAAATTTAGAATGTTTTTATCTGCACAAATTCATTGATATTAATTTACATTTATCTAAATTATGAAATGTTCCATGGCTGGCATTACAGGACAAGTGTCTGTTAGGGTTATCAATATTAATAATCAGCAGCCTTATCAGTAACAGGGTTATCAATATTAATGATCAGCAGCCTTATCAGTAACAGGGTTATCAATATTAATAACAAGCATCCTTATCAATAACAGGGTTATCAATATTAATAATCAGCAGCCTAATCAATAACAGGGTTATCAACATTAATAACCAGCAGCCTTATCAATAACAGGGTTATCAATATTAATAATTTTGTGAATATTGTGATTTTATGATGTGACAAACTTTGTATTTTAAGTTGGAAGAGAAAAGTCTGTTGATGCTTCTGGACAGCAAAGGGTTAAAAAGCTGCAGCTGGAGGAATGGACACTTTTAGGATTTAAACTTTACAAGTTGTACGTCCTGTAAATGCAGTGTGAAAGCTTATTGTTGAAAAAACAGCTGAAATTAGCTAAAAACAAGCTGAAATGTAGCTGAAATGAAAGAACAAGCTTAAGTTAGCAGAAGAAGCTGAACACATTTTTGCTAAATTTGGTTTAAATAAGCAGAAATGAGCAGAAAAATTAGCTTAGCTAAAGAAAAGCTGCAATTAGCAAGAAATAGCTGAAAAGTAGCTTAAACGGCAGAAAGAAGCTTAAATTACCAGGAGAAAGTGGAGAGAGCACAACTGTGGCCAGTTAGGCTGAAAGATGCAGAAATGTGCACATAAAAGTGGAAATTCTCTGGAAAAAACTGAAATTCACAAAAATAAAATTAAAATAAATAAATTAAAAATAGACGCTCCATGCAACATGGACTGTATATTTAAAACCTTACAGTATTTAAATGTAATTATTGACACAGGAGGAGGGAGACTGGGAGGTGATGAGTGATGCAGCGGAGAAGTGGGCGTGGCACAGAGCGGAGATCATGACACGCTGCAGGAGGAGCTGCAGCTGTGTGCTGCACACAGGTGCAGGAGGAGCTCCTCTAAATTATTTAAGTAGTTTATTTTAAATGAACAATCCATGTCGCTCCTGCGGCTCATCCATCAAACAGATGGTTGTGTCATGTCCAATCTTATTTTGAAAAAACACGAAAGAGCGAGTTAGTGAAAGACAAACTGAAGTAACGAGGGACTGTACACATCATGAAGAGACTCGGACAGTACTTGTGTCTTTAAGTCAAACTGTAGCACTTCACCACCGTCCCAACTCTCCTCGGCTCCACACGGCACCAGTTAAGGGTCTGTCCTGTCTGTAAGAACCCTGCTCTGCCTGGTGTACTCTGCCTGGTGTATTCTGCCTGGTTTACTCTGCCTGGTTTATGGCACCTCCTAGTTTGAGGTGAGGTGTTCATTCTCGGAGATGATGGCGCAGCATGGCTGCACCTGGACTCATGAGCAGTGCCCAGAGAAGCTTACCTGACTTGTGTCTGCAGGACAAGCTGTACCAAGAGGATTACCAGCAGGTCATTACTGAGGAGGAGAAGGAGAAGATCCTGGCCAGCTTGAGGGAGACCTCGGACTGGATGGATGAGGAAGGGTATGCCGCCACCACTAAGCTGCTGAGAGAGAAGCTGTCTCAGCTCAAGAACCTGTGCAAGGACATGTTCTTTAGAGTGGAGGAGCGGCGCAAGTGGCCAGATCGCCTGGCTGCTCTCAACAACTTGCTCAACACTTCGTCGTTCTTCTTGAGGTGAGGGACCAGCAGGAGGTTGTTGGGAACCTTAGCTGGACCAGTTCTGACTGTTCTTCTTCTATCCAAGGAGTGCCAAACTGATTCCAGAGGATGACCAGATCTTCACAGAAGTGGAGTTAAATATGTTGGAGAAGGTCATCAATGAAACCGCAGTAAGTGGTGAATGTTTTTCCATCTCTTTGAAGAGGTTGCAGTGTCTTTGATGGATCAGCCTCGTTGGGCCTCGCAGGGGGAACTGGTCTGGAGCGGACCGCTTCGATGCATCTGTCACAGAAGCAAACCCTTGCAGCTAGTCCCTTCTGACTCATGGGGCTCGCCTCACGTGACCTTTGTTTGCCATGACACGGTTTGATTTCTCTGCAGCTGTGGAAGAACGACACGGTAGCAGAGCAGAACCAGCGGTCACCTAAAGAGAAACCAGTCCTGCTGTCCAAAGACATCGAGTCAAAGCTGGCTCTGCTGGACCGAGAGATCAACTACTTGCTCAACAAAGCCAAGTTTGCCAAACCGAAGAAAGTCAAGAACGCTACGAGCACCGAGAAAGGGAGCAGAGCCAACAGCACAGCAGGAGACAAAGATCCTCCCCCCACGGAGGACCACTCAGATGGTGAGTGACCAGAGCATGAGTGGTCCTGAACTGGGCCTGATGCTTGTTACACTTTGCACTGATGTGTTCCTGCAGAAGAGCCGTCACAAGACCCCCCTCCCGCTGAAGACAGCGCCTCACCTCCAGATTCTGAAAACCAGTCACAGCCCACCGAAGCAACGATAAGTACAGGTCAGTGTCCATGTCGCTGAACTGGTCAACCACTTCAACGTCTGCAGAGCGTTACTGGTGAAGAAACCAGTCCTGGAGTAGATCCAGTTCCTGGGGAAGGTTCTGTAACGTCATGACTGATGCCGTTTGTGTTTTCTGTACCACTTCCACACTGGGTGGCAGCCGTGGAGCAGTGGTAGGGCAGTTGCTTGGGACTGTAAAGTCGCAGGTTTGATTCCCTGCCATGCCCATATGTCACAAGCAAGACACTTATTCCATGATCGCTCCCCAGGTGCTTCAGTGGCTGCCCGCTGCTCCACGTGTGCACGTCATGTGTGCACGTGTCATGTGTGAGGGTCAAATGCAGCCGTTTAACTTTCACATTCCCTCATGCAGACGGATACACAGGAACGTATTCTTCCTCTCGTGTCTCGGTGCGTTTCCCAGTATACCCTGTAAGGGTCGCCAACACACCTGTTGAAACCTGCACACACCAACTGTGGAGCTACACACTTTTTCACTACATCCATCCATCCATCCATCCATCCATCCATCCTTTACCCGCTTCGTCCATTTTGGGTCACTGGGGTTGCCGGTGCCCATGTCCAGCAATCACTGTGTTAGGTGGGGTACACCCTGGACAGGTCTCCAGTCCATCACAGGGACACCCTGGACAGG